AAGCTTATACTCTGTAGTCAATGATACCAAAATATAAATTCGAATCAGTCACACATTGGCGATTATTTAGGTTCCTGCCAACAAATGCTTAGCAGGCTCGACCAAACAAAATTAATTAGGCTTCGGTTAGGCCACACAAATATATCTCAGAGTGTGATATCACATGAGTATGTTAACAAAATTTGGTTGCTTTAGCTGTTATAGTCTCTGAGATCTAGGCGGACGGACAGACAGATATGGCTATATCGACTCGGCTATTGATGCTGATCAAGAATATATATACTTTATGGGGTCGGAGAACGTTTCCTTCTTTGCGATGCACACATCTACTTTTACCACAAATCTGATATACCGGTAATGGGCCCATTAACTCTTCGAGTACGGTTATATAAAAAAAATATCAGCAATATTTCATATTTTTGCTTTAAAAATGCATTATGTGGCTTATATATAAAAAATCCATTCGTTCTTTGGTAAAAATTTTGAATGTCGGCATGCTTTGCATCTAAAGCCTTGCGTTTCTCACTTTTACCAGTATCGAACTATCGGAAACAAAAACCTCGATAGGCGAATCAGTGATTTTGCCATCGATACTATCGATAGTCTCTCGATGTTTTTGCAGGTCTACTGTGGATAGAAGAAGCACTAACCATACTGTATACAGATGTGCCAGTTCATACAACGAAAGTGGCGCAGCTGGGGTTTCAGCTTAAGGTCCCATTTTTGTAAATTTACAAGGGCAGCAAGTGTTGAATGGAAGGTGCTATAATGCCACCAAAAAAGAATAAAGACGCGGAAGCCCCGCATCTTGTGCTGTGTTAGTGAATTTCTTTAGCCGAAATAAAAGTTATGTCGAGGAAAATAGAGACTGCATGGCAGCTGGGCAGCTAGAAGCCAGGTTAAGTCTAATTGGGACAAACTTTAATCAGTTCTTTAATATTCAAGATAAAATTAAGCACGACAGCGAGGACGAATGGACTAGCTGGTACAATGCTTTAATTACGCTAATAGACTCCGATTCGGAACTGGATGATTTGTCAATATTGATTAATTTGATATCATCGTTGGGAGCTGCGCCTTTGAGTACGATTGAGTGTTTGGAATTATCAGGTCCCAACTATCGCAAGGCAATATGATTATTGAAAGATCGTTATGAAAATAAGTCAATTATTGTGCAATCATATATAAACGAGCTAATTAATGTGAAGCGTCTGAAGCATCCAGATTCAGAAGGGTTGACAATGGTAGACAATGTGAACTCCCAATAGCGCTCAAGTCGTTAAGCGAAGACAAGGAGATTCTGGGTGCAATAATTTTTAATTTAATTCGTACAAAGCTTGATGAAGTGACGATGGACCGTCATGGTCATTGTTATCGCAGTTTTTGATAAACAGAGAAACCAATTTAGCAAATAAGGAGATTCGACGAGTCAATGTAGCCAGACCCAGTGGTAGAAGTAAGGTTAAGAAGGCAAGTTTAGCTGCATCAATGGACAGCAGCAATGGCAACGTTTGTCGTGGGACTCATGGATTAAAAGGGTGTCCAAAGTAGAAAGAATTATCACTGGTACAAGGGTACCAGAAAGTAAAAAAGCACTCTCTGTGCCTGATTTGCTTTAGTAAGAGCCTTTTCACACTGGCGACCATCCACCATCCATTTCGGGGATGGTCCGTAAGGTTTTGCCGTTTCGAAAATTTCACAGTTATTCCACCATCCATCTGGGATGTTCCTTATTCGCACGGAATTGTTTCTATCATTTTCAAATGCAACCTTAAATATTTCAAATTAACAACAAAAAAGTGCAAGTCACTACGAAAATGTAAACAATGACAGACATGAAAATGGTAAAAACAAGAACAGAAAATCTGATATGTCAGAATTGTCTCAGGCACAAAAACTCGGTTTGTGGACTCTGGGAATTCTTTTATGAATGCTCTGCAAAACTCATGCAGGATATTGCACTCGCTTTTGGCTGACAGCCTTCCGACTATTCTGTACTGAGAAAAAGAGCCCAAAGTATACAATGCTATGGCTATAGAAAAAATTCCTTAAAAAACGCCTCGTTGTTTTCGGGTACATCTTTCTCCCAAAATGTCCCAAACCGCTTCTCAGAAAACATAGAGAATAGAGAACTACCATCTTGCCGCGATTAGGGGCCTAGTAAGCGTAAGGAACCCTATACCGGCGGTAGCGTATGCTGCCAGAAGGGCCACCCAAGCCGGGCAGGTCATGGGGGAGCGCCGAAGACAAAAGTAGTTCACTGTGGCGGTAGGGATAAGACGCATCCGTTATGGGGGAAATGTCAGTTAACGATTTAACAGTTAAGGTGCAGGGAGTCGGAGACCCATTACCGGCGTTGATTGGGGGTGCGAGCGCAGGTCCCCCGGCGTCGATATCCTGTAACTGCAGGAAACCCGATATGGCAGTGGAGTGCTTGGCTACCAAATCGTTTAATGCCACAAGCAACAGAAAGATCCACAGACAGAAAGGGACGATAGGAGATCTGGAACCGGGAACCACAGATGGAAGCTTCGTCTTTACTTGTCCCTCAGTGTCGGAGGCAGAGTTGGCTACGGCTTTCTCTCGACTCGGATATAACGAGGAACCGCAGGAGGCGGAGCCACAATTCACGGCTCCCAACATCCAGGTCGACTCGGGTCCACTACCCGTGACGGACGAGAAGACGCAGGCTGAGACCCTACGCAAGCGGCTGTCGTTATAAAGGGCATCGGCAAAATACCTTCGTGGTATTAGCCAACGACCCACCGATATGCTGACCGCGAGGGAAAGGAGCCTCAAAAAGAAGCACGAGCAAAAGGAGCGAAGGTACGAGCGGTTTAGCGGAGTCGCTCCTACCAGCAGAGACCAAGCCCTCTCAAGGGCAGACGCGGCGACTGGGGACCCCAAACCATCGACTTCAGCGTCAGCATCAGCTGGCACGAAGGCGAAGGTGGACCAACCCTCAACGGCATCGTCTGCGAACACGCGAGGGAGAAAGGGGAAAAAGGTGTCCGGGAAGCAGAGGGGGAGGACCACACCTCCGATGAAGAGGGCACCGGTGGAACCGACTGGTCGAGAGCCAAGGTTCCAGCGGCAGGGGACGGACGACTCCACAAAAGCTTCCAAGCCGAAGAAGGCGAAAGCAGAAGACATTGTGGCAAGCCTTGGATCGCCGGCCGAGCTGCAGGTAGCCATCATCGACAGAAGTCACCCAGAGGCGAAGATATCGGACGCCAGTTGGCTGAAGGAAGAATCGGAGATCTTGACCGCCATGAAGGATGCCATTGTGCGCGCAGATAAACCGTTTGTTTGCGAGTTCAAGGATATCAAGTGTCATAATGGAGCCAAAGGCAGTGGCCTGTTGCAATGCAGAAACTGTTGAGTTTCTCAAAGCCCCAGTCCAAGGTTTTGGTGAACTTTGGCCAGGAGCGGCACTCTGCGTGGTCCCCACGGATCAGATTCCCGGGAGAACGATCATGAAGGTGTTACTCCCCAGATCAAGGCGGATGAGGACAAATTCGTTCTGATCAAGGCACAGACTGGAGACTGGAGACTGGAGACCCACCCTCGGAGGATGTCAGGGCCCTGATATACCAAGCGCGGAGTGAGGGCCTCGACATTGTCTTAGGCTGAGACGCGAATACCCATCACTCCCTCTGGGGAAGTACGGGAACAAATTCTAAAAGAGAGTCGCTGTTCGAGTACATTCTGTCCACAAATCTGCTGCCCGACCCACCGGAAGGGGACATACTTCAAACGGGAGCACTAGAGGAAGCTACGCAGAACGTTACTAATGCTCTACAGATGGCGTTTCTCAAATCCTGCCCGACGAGATTATCTGGGCCATTAAATCATTCAGTCCCTAGAAGTCACCGGGACCGATTGATATCCGACCAGCCATGCTACAAGTAGCATGCCGGCAGCTACTACCATGGCTGAAGAAAATTTTCGAAGGATGCCTCCTCACTGGGTACGTCCCCCATGGGTGGAGGGAGGTGAGAGTGGTCTTCTTCATATGTAGATTCTACATGTCCTCCGGTTGGGGGCGCACGCACATTGAACGAAGTAGAGTGTTCGAGCGAGAAAAAGCATAAGTAGCGGCGGCAGCACTGGAAGGGGTTTGGTTAGACACTGAACATCTTCTTCATTCTGGCTATAATAATAATACGATCCGATACAAATTTGGCAATCAGGTAGATCTATTTATGATCCGATCAAGAATATATGTACTTTATGGGTTAGGAAACGTTTCCTTCTCTGCGTTGCACACATCCACTTTTACCACAAATACAATATACCCCTTAAAGGCCTGTCTCCAGCACCACGGAAAATTCCTGCCATGAATTTGCTTGTTATTCCGTGAGGGTGTGGAACATAGCTTAAACAGGGTTGATGAATCAGCTGTGTTTTGTAAACAGTGCCAACTGTTAAGTTCTGCTAAAATTAAAAAAGGAAAAAAATGCACTCTGATGATGAAGTGATTGTGTTGGTGTATTGTTGCAAAACAAAAAAGAATAATTTGCATCTCTCTTTTTCGTTTTGCGGACAGTTTTTGCCTACATCTTGCACCATTCACTTCAGGAATAATTGTTGAACATGTATTCCTGAGCTGGGTGTCAGCTGCTTCTCTCAGTCCACGAGGACTGATCCCGATAGGCAACTATCGATATAAATCTGTGGATTCCGCTCGTGTTGCTGGATACACACTCCAGGAAAACGAAAAAGAAAAAATCCTGGCAGTTTTTTTATATGAAGTTTTACGGGGCATTTCCGCGGTGCGGTACTATGCTTAACTCTTTTTTAATATGGGTATAAAAACTGCCCATTTACATTATGATTTTGCCACAAATTTCGTGATACTTATTTATACATTTAGTATACCCGAAAAGTAATATATATGCATGTATGCATTACTATAAAAATGTCTTCTTTTTGTACATTATGAATACATTTATCTTAAAACCATAGTAAATGTATATCAAATAAATGCGCATACTTACTTTTAATGTATTTATATGCATGTAGATCGTATGCGTACATATGTGTACATATGCAACCAAGTTGAAGTATTCTAGGTGATATTCGCGTTAAACACTGCACAAACACCATTGACCAAACAGAGGAGTACGCAATTGTAAAGTGTACATATGCATGTACATTTATTTTAGGAAGACGAAAATCACTTCTTAATCCGAAAATTTAATTAAATATGTGTTCTTTAACAAGTTATACAAATAAATCGTACTCTTACATATATCTGAAAATATGTACATACATATGTTCATATATTATTAATTTTTTAGTTGAATTTACTTTATTTCCTTTTTCACATTTTTTGGTTTTCCAAAATATTTTATCATCACATTAACTTTATACATATATACATAAATACGGGTAAATTTTTTAGTAAGATACATATGTACATATGATTAATACCTCAGGCTCTCATTTTTTATTTATGTCTTTTTGATAAGTGGTCTAAATAACAGTATATTAATTGTTGGAAAAAAATAAAAATAGTTGACCAGTGATTGCGTGGACTTTTAAGCAGCAGTAATTTATTTTCACACACATTAACATACATATGTATGTAAATTGGTATTAACATGGAAATAGGGGTGCCAAATTACAATTTTTTTCCCGTGTTTTTAATTTGTTTTTGTACGGATTCAGTTATAATTAAACTTTTAAAATGCACATGTGATATTTTTGTGCTTTATTTTATTTCATACTAAAATAAAAAACTATACAACTGTCAACTTATTCTGTGACACATTCTGATTTTCTCGTCTACTTGGAGCATGCTCTTTCTTTGAATAAAAGGGTGGTTTACATTGTTACGAGGACACATACATATATATATAAATATATGGACGTTATTTCCATGCTGCAACCCACCATGTGTACCAATTTTAACACATTCGCTGCCCAACAGATTTACGATAATTTTTAAGGGGAAAAATAAATCTCGTTTTCTAGATGTCTGTACGATGTACATGTATTTGTTTTTACATCTGGAAGAAATACCCTGCTAGATCTATATTTTCTATGGTACAAACATATGTATGTTTACTTTTACCTTTTTTTTACCTATCTATGAAGAAACTACAGTGGCTTACAGCTTAAATGAACCAGACAACCAGAAAAACTTAAAAGTGGTACACTCAAATGTGGTACAAATGTAAGTGTACATTTTTTTTTATTCTTAAATTCTAAAAAATCATATGCTCAAAAATGTATATACTGACTGAGTATAACGGGTATAACGGGTATAAGTAGATTCGCGTCCCCAGAAGCGACTCACACGTTCCTTCTCGTTTTTGTATCGATTCGACCAATATTACTGTGATCTATAGAGTAATTTTCCCCCACCCCTCTGTGAATGCTGTTTTTAAGTCTTTTTTACGTTTTATAATGTTCTGATCCAATATTAACAATATTCTAATATTCTCAATGATATTTAAAGTCAGGCTATTGAGTCTAAGGAATCATTAAGTGAGTGCACTGGCCAGTTTGGTAAAAGGTGCTGAGATGAAAGCAATACATTAATATGTACTGGAATCCTCCTACATGGCTCTAATGGTGATTGGCTAGGCTGGAAAACGTTACGACAAAGACAGCATTATGGGTTAGTTCGCTTTTTGTGGTGCTATCTCATGTTTGGATTGTGCTTAGATGCTTAGATCTCTGTTAATGTTCCTCCTTTCGAACGTACCGAGCGGCTCGCTTTACGATGCCAATGTTACTGCTGTTCGCGTTACCTTTGGCTGGGAGACAGTCTAGATTGAGTTAAAATTGAGATTGAAATCGAGTTGTAGAGTAGGACCTTGTAGTCCAGACAAAAATGAGATCGTAAGTTTATATTCCCGTGGAGCTTGGGAAAACACCTTATTAAAAAAAGTTTGCGGAGGACAGCTTAAGCTGTTTAAAGTAAACGCTACATTTTTGCACTTTTGTTCGTTTTTTTTTTAATGGAGGACAATACGATCAGTGCAAAATTTTGAAACAATATCTAACTTTATAATGCCATACTGATTTTGCTTAGATTTTAACGGTACTTTCCAAAAATTTTATCGAAAGTGTGACTAAATGTTTGTTTGCTTTGTACAGAGAACTCTGCACGTATTTGTCTTTAATAACACTACTCGACAAAATTGAACATTGTAAATCCGCTTCGAACTAAACCAACGTTTTTTGATAGAAAAATAGTGTAGGGTAGTGCTATCAATGAAGTCGCAGTAGTAATTGTTGGCGAGAACGTGGAATCACGCGGTATTTTTCTCAATCGTCGGGATTGTGGCAAATTACCACGAGAGTACGAGACTCATCGGTCAAATTATTCACTTCAAGACCCACTGATGTCCAGTCGTGGATAGGATGGCTAAATTTCTCAATTCTCAATTTCATTCGTTTCAGTCAGTCGAAGTTACGATCAAACGAGTATATCCTCTTGCGTGATGCCCGGCTATCGTTAAAAGTCTGTGGGACTAATCTCGAATTTACCTGTTTTTACGCATGGGATGCCTGTGCGTATTGGCAATCCGTCTTCGTTGCTTGATCTTGCGCCGCTCCCAACTGATTTTAATTTCAAATAAATAATTTGGAAATTGAGGTAGGAATCACCATTAATGGTGCCACCAAATTCGCATTTCTTTGCACTGCAGATAAGAGCCATGTTCAACAGCTGTTGGGTCACTGTGCACAGCGAGAAAAAAGACGCACTGAGAGGACAAGCTAGATGAGAGACCAGGCAGCAGCAGCAGCAGCAGAAAGAGCACGATGATCAGCAGTTATGTATGTCCCTATGTATGTACATATATACAGGGCAGACGGCGCAGCGAAGTGACGAAAGCTAACGACGAACTCCAATAAAGCAAAGCAGAGGCGCCGAGATATTAGACCATAAACGAAGAATGCAGGCGTCGTATGGTAAGAGTGAGAGCCAGAGTGCAGCTCGCGTGAAATCCAGAGAGTGAGTAGGCAGTGCAACGGATTATCGCGAGAACGGTGAGTGCCAAAGAGCAATGAGTCGATGAGTCAAAGCAAAGCAAAGCAACCGATCGAATAGCAATAACAATTGTCTAAACAAAAACAATGCAATGCAACGATCCACTGTTAGATGTATGTATGTATGTATGTTTGTTCGGCAGCCACAGAAAAATTAAAAGTAATAAATCAATTTAAAACACTGAGTATACACAAGCTTTATAAAATATGAATATGTGTGCACCTCCGATACTTAAAACCAAATTGAATTAATTACAGTTTATAAGTTTCTTTTTTTGATTAGGCGAAAAAGGCGAGAGCGATGCAGAAACACGACCGGCTTGCTTGTCACGAAAGGCTTGCTTTTTTGATATTGCTGTTCGCAAAAGAGACGAATTGCTTCGATGGGTGAAAATGAGAAAAACATAGAAACAAGGAGAAGGAACGTGTGAGTCGCTTCTGGGGACGCGACAATACTTATACCCGTAATCAGTCAGTATATACATTTTTGAGCATAATTTTGTAGAATTTTAAAATTAAAAAAAAATTTTACATTTTACATTACATTGCTAAATCTGTTATCTACATCTACAATGTATATTTTACGTCTAAAATGTAGATTATAGATGTACCATTTATAATCTACATCTCCTCCGCTAGGGGTTGCTCGCGCACTGAACGCGGCAGAGTGTGCGAGCGAGAAAGAGAATCAATAGCGTCAGCAGCGCTGAAGAAGGAGGGGGAATCAACAGAAAATTATTTCTTCATTCTGGCTATAATTATGATCCGATATAGTTCATATTCGGCAATCTGGTAGGTATGGGCATTCTCTACGATACTGCGTTTTTAGTTTTATCGTACCTTTATAATTGTGCATGCCACAGATTTTCGTATTTTGTGATGGCGGAAGGGAGCCGGGCGAATTTTTGAAATACACTTGTATCAGTGTGATATCACACTGAGTCTGGAAACTAAATTTGGTTGCCCTAGCTCTTATAGTCTCTGAGATCTAGGCGCTTATCACGACGGGCAGACGGACGGACAGACGGACATGGCTATATCGACTCGGCTATTGATGCTGATCAAGAATCGTTGCACACATACACTTTTACCACAAATACAAAATACCCCTTAACTCTTTTTTGAGTAAGGGTATAAAAAGAGGAACCACAACCGCTATTTATGTTCTATTGTTATTGTCGAGTCACGCTAGTTTATTTATTTTGTTACTTTTTAAAGTTTAGTGTTAGATAGATTAGAGCGCAGCGAGAGCGTAATAAAGCTCTCTCTCGCTCTTGGCGAATTCGACCCGCTTCGCCGCCCTAGATTAGTTAGGCTGAAGAAGATATTATAACGAAGAGGAAAAGAAGTCCCCATTATTTATCAACAATTTTCGTCGTAATATATAAGTAATAGCAAGTGTTCCAGTGGGGGCTTAGAGATAGGACCACGACGAATTATGCCATAAGGTATTCGTCGATAGGCGAAGTAGGAGAGACGTAATATGACGAGCTTTCCATTAATGAATTGTTGTTGGCCGATCAGCTCAACAATAAAACAAACAGTTATTTACGGCTATGGCCGGAGCTTAGTCATTTATTCGACGTTGGTTCGTAAGATCTGTTAAGACTAAAATACTTAATATCAGAAAGATCAAGCTAAGCCCTAAAACTTACTATCCAGTAGGCTGGGCCAAACATTTTTTTTTTTTAATTCCAACGGGACACCCCCTAGTTTTGTTACCTTAGATTTAATAGTAATTTACATATTTTCATTTTTATTTTGTTTTTAATTTTTTAGAGGTTGCTACCGAATCTTAAAAAAAATTTGTATCAAGAAAATTCAAACAACATTTTTTTGCTGAATGAATTGGTGAAATCTATATGCATATATACATATATGCATGTATATTGATACCATTTACATATATCATCATTAATCAGTTGTTAGCAGTAAAAAACCTGCTCAAGTTTTTGCGATCTAGTTAACTAAATATATCAACCTCATCTGAACTTCTTGATTTTCACCAATCGTTAATTTTTTAACAGTAACTAAAAAAAAAAATAAAAGTACCTTATTATCAATATGAAATAGTTTCAATGTTATTTGAAAAAACCGACGAATTAAATTTTTTTAATGTATATTTAACCAAAAAAGTGTATTTTCTTTTCATGGTAGCAACCCCCAAACATTAAACTAAAAATTTGAAAAAAATTGTATAATTTTATTGAATAACAAAGAACAGAGTTCGGTGGTGTCCCCTTGAAAAAATAAAAATTGTTTGGTCCAATTTTGGCCCAGCCTACTAGCCCGGCGGCAGCGGCGCGATCGTCTCTCGGTGGCGACGAAGTTAGTCAGCTGAATAAGTTCTTGCCTAATTGCAAGAACCCAGCGCCCAGTTGCACATCTCCGCTACCGAGTGTTAACTTATATACCAATTTGCAGCCAACAAACTCGTTTTTTCGTTGTTTATTTAATGTAGAAAAACTTTTCTAAGATTTCATGGTGGACTAGCAAATTAATAAGTAGAAATTTACAGTGACACGAGTTAAGAAAAATATTTATAAAATATATACGTACCGCCTACCGTTCAGACGTGCTTCGTGACGTGCTCCGGCCCATGATCAGATTGTGAGACACCTGCAACAATATGGAACGCCAGCTGATACGCAACAGATAAAGAAAGAGGCTCACTAACCAGGCATTTGATACCAGACCGATACGGAAGGGCCATGGCGGTATATCAGAAAAAAAACACAGGTTGCAAACGCTAAAAACTGGAAATTCTCGTGGAATGTGGGTAAAAGTGCCTCGTGAGTGAAAATTGACACGGGAGAAAACACAAGTCAGCAACCAAAAAAAAGTCAGAGGTGAGACTGATCAGCTGCTACAGCGACGTGAGTGGACCAGACACGCAACGCAACTGCACCAACTGCTTGTCAAAGCTTCAACACAATACGGATCGGAACCTGCATGCCGTAACGAGCGAAACTATACACAGCATATTTTCAGGCGTCAACAAAATAATAAATTGTGAAAATATAAAAGCTTATCATATAAAAAAGAGTAGAAACCACAAAAATGTCACTAAACTGGACTTCTTCAGGTGCAAGGCAGACGCAAATAAGTACCGCACTTCATAATATGCCCTCAGGTACGCCTCTTAATGTAGCAGGACGGCAGGAAAGAGGCGTGCGCTATCACCCGATATATCGCTGGGAGACGTGATGCAGGCCATCAACCAAATGGGCCAACGGTTCGAGAAATTGGCAACAAAGGAGGATATAGGGATGTTAAAGTCCCAATTAGACGCCGTGTCCGACCAGATCGAAACTCTTAAAGCGGAGAATGTGACTTTAAAGCGCGATTTCCAGCAATTAAAAAGCAACAGAGAGCAGGACCGAACGGAGCTTAGCAGACTGGAGCAAAGCAGCAAGGCCCGGAACCTTATTTTCAAAAGCCTAGAAAAGGAAGATGCCACAAAGGAGGGAGTGGAAAAATTGCTACGGGGTAAAATGGCGATCCCGAACGCATCAGTACGAGAAACCCGAGTGCTCTACCAACGAAAAAATAAGATGGGATTGCTAATGGAGAGAAATGGAGAATGCTTTGACCATAAATGATGTATTAAAAAACAAGCTGGCCCTAATGCAGTTGAAAAAGGAGCTGGTATCCATAAAAAAGAACTATAAGTCATTCGTCAAAAATGACCAGATCTGTGTAGAGGGCAAATAAGTGTCCTTTAACAATGCTCATAAGCTCACTTGCAAAGGAAAGCCAGCTAACCCGATATTAAAGGAACTCTATTGCGCTGCATTGGATGAAACCAACCTTACTCACACGCGACTTCTCACCAAAGCCAGGGAATCAAAAAATTAGAACGGCAAATACGCACTCAAAACAGCATACACATTAATATATTGTCATACAACATTGCAGGTTAAGCAAATAAGCTAATCTTTAGTCAATTTTTTTAATTTATAAATACTTATCAAATATTTTTCCTATACGAAAAATTTGTCGACCAAAACATGCAGCAGTACGAACCATACTTCCCAAATCATATTCTGTTATGGGAACCAGCCGTAAGAACGGCAGCTAGAGGAAGATCAAGTGCTGGCCAACATAGAGGCATCCACACAGACTTAGTCGCATCTGGATGTTACAGCTTTCACGACATCTCACAGTGGTCGATTCTGCCAATCTGGCAGGCAATAAATGAAAAATTAAAATGTCGAATCTTGTTAATTTTTTTTACTTTTTGGAAAGTAAACATCCCACTGATATTTATTGCGATATTTATATATTTTTCCTATCGATAGTCCAGTATCTGCACGCGGTTGAATCGCAGAAAACTTTTCTGTCCATACCTAAGTACATTTTATCGCCTTTTTATGGCTTTGGTAAAGCAAAATTAATCTTAATGTTTTGCGATTTGTATATAAATTACCATCCATTTTGATCATAGTTGGTAAGTATTCAATAAAAAATATATGTGTTGGTCCTGTGCTTAAATCGTTGTAGAACTTAACATTTCCTTTAGTGTGCTATTAATATCATACCCGACACTTGCATGGAATAGATATTTTGACATCCGCCCCCATTCGCCTTCAATCTTTTTCTCTTAATGAATCCAGTCTTTTTTGAATCTTCTGTGCTGAAACAAATTGCAACTACGTGCAACACGTTAATTTATTTGATTCTATAGGGAAAATTGCAGGTCAAAAAGCACGCTTTTGCGATGTTCGGGAGTAAGGAAAAAAAGCTAAACCGAGTTGGATCCATGTTTTCACTCAAACTAGTGATATCAACGACATAAACGGAATTTTTTTTTAAGCACTCAAAACCGACTTTTTCTGATAGATATGGGGTATTTAAAATTTTTTTAAAGCAAATGGTTTTTTTTTAGGCAGATTTTTTTGAAGAATTTTCAAAGTTTACTTTTTACTTATCAAATTTTTTCCATACGAAAATCATGCAGCAGTACGAACCATACTTC